CAGTTATTTTTGAGATTGTTGAAATGTGACCAAAATGATCTAGGATTCCTATTGATGTTATTTTCAGTTTTGAGCAGGTACATTCTATAAGAGGAGTCCCTTGAATCCTTGCACCTATCCCTCACTTCAGAGAACAACAAATAATCCAAGTTATCTCCCGTTTCTCTATATTTTTTGTGTAGCTTCTTCTTTTCAACAATCAATCTACGCAGCTCAGTGTTGAACCACAAAGGAAAGTTCGAAGTTCGGAATTTCTTTACTGGAACATATAAAGTTATCCCCTCCCACAATGTTTCATAAAACCATAGAACAGCCTGCTCAAGGGTCAAATCATTCATCAAACACCAATTCACACTAGCCAAATATTCATTCAATGAATTGTAATTGCCACTTTTAAAATCAAAGAAGCACTCCTCATATTTAGAACGTTTGCATTCTACATTATGGCTGAATCCCATAGATATAGCAGTATGGTGAACACTATTACTCAAAATCATATCGGTGGCTCTGTCAATCTCAACAGTACCCAAGTTTGAAAACACCAAGTCAAGCAAAGCATTCCTGCTATTCGTGATGGTGTTTATCTGACGAAAATTGTAATAATTTAGACACTCTATTAAATCATTAGCTGGAGAATTGCCCGCACACTCACTGGTTAGACCAAACTCATTATTAACCCATTTAACCTGTGGTAAATTAAAATCGCCAGCCAGCAATAACTTACATTTAGGATATAAATCAAAAATTGATTCGATTGATTGACAAACATCAACAAACAAGCCTACATCAGACCTAGGTGGCAGGTAGATACAGCCCAATACAAATTCAGATGACTTAATTTTAAAATATACATAAACCTGTTCAACAGTCATAACATCAATGTTTAGTCTTTGGCATTGCAAATCATTCCTGGCAGCAATCAGAACTCCTCCCCCCCGAGTTCTGGGATCCCCAGTTGATGAACGATCAGTACGAAACAAATCAAACTGCCCTGGACAGAGCTCTGTATCATATATATGTTCCGTTAACCATGATTCCGCAAGCATTATAACATTATAGTGACAACATTCAATATCCTTCCGAACCTCACTAAATTTAGTTCTAAGACCACCAGCATTATTGTAATAGATCAGAATATAAGTGTGACCACCATTCCCAGCTATACACCGGCCTGATTCATTTGATCCCGTCGAAAATTCTCGGACTTGCGTACATTGCTCCACCAGAATTTTCTTAAAACAACGCCTTTTGGCCAGATATCAGGTTGTGAAAAACTTTCCTTGCAATCCGAGTGGATGCTTATCTTGAAAGAGATAGTTTCCCCTTTAATTGGCAAAGGTACAACCTTAAGGTCCCTAACATCTGGACATTGCTTTTTAACATGCTGTTCAATAAAATTAGGTGTTACACCCATTTTAACGCGACCGAGATAAAAATAAGCCCTCTGAATTGAGCCTGAAAAATTCTCATCCCCAGAAAAATTTGCCTGCCCAAAAACAAAACTTTGGTTGCTTTTACGGTTCCTTCTTTTTCGATTTTGCACCAAAGTAAATTCAGTCTCAGCTGATTCCTTGTTTTTGTTTATATTCTCTTCATCTCCCTCCTCTCTCACCTGTTGAAGAGCGCTTTCAGTTCTCAATCGTGCCTGCACTTCCTGCTCCTGCTCGATTTGCTGCTGTTCTACTTGCAGATCCACTGGCGCAGGAAAAGAAGAAGAGGAAAATTTGGCAACATTGGTCTGTCTTGTTCGAACTTTGTCTTGTGATGGGGGAAAAGGCGGCGCTGCCACGTCCACCCCGGCTTCCAGTAAGTTGCGTTCTTTTTTTTGCTTTTCCAGCAAAAATCGCACCAGCTCCTTATTGCTCTCCAACACAACTTTGAACATGGCGTCAAACTTCTCAATTAGACGTCCTTCCACCTCCTCTAGGGTCTCATTAAGTAGGCGTTTGGTTACTTCATTATTACTAGCTAGCAATTGTGTGTAGTTCGCAGAGACCTCGGAATTCACCTTATTTAAATTCTTATCGGCACTATTGAATTCAGAAAATTTCTCAATGCAATCCCTGCACCATATCAGGACGGTTCTTGTTTTAGCAATTGCACACCTTACCTCCTGTGAGGAAATTTTGCTACAATCCTTACAAGAGACTTTCTGGCAATTATCGCATAAACATCCAAACAATTGAGTCTTGCTTTCCCGGAAAAAACATATCTGGGTGCAAAATCCACAATGCAGCTCATCCATAATTCTCAAGAATTTCTGACAAGATGCACTGACAACACTGCGAAAACACTTGTTTCTAAACAAACCCAAAACTCGAGGAATTCGACAATAAGCACAGTTATTTTACGTAATTCATAAGCACAAAACTATGCTAGTGACTAGTTACACTGACTCTCACGTTAATTGTGGGTATGAGCCATTCAAAAATACTCTTAGACAACTCAAAGACCATCATGGTCGACCATGTTGAATTATACTCCTCCATAAAAAAATTTGGCAGAAAAAACAAACCTAACGACTCATTCAAATTTCAAGTAAACCTCGTAAGCACAACCAATTTTGAGCATCTGGAAACATTCAAGAAGATTAGGTATACAGCTCCTCTGAATGCAAATCTTAAACACTCGCAGAAAAAGTATTGTTCCTAACACTTGCGCAAAGTGTCTTTCCCGCACTCAAAGCTTATCCGAACTCCGCTTCGCGTCGTTCGTCTAACTGCTTTTTCGTGCGGGAAAGTATCACTTTGCGCACTTGTTAGGAAAATAACTATTTTTAATTTTTTTCCGGCCTTAAATGCGTCATAGCAAGCAGAGTCCCATAAGCTTTTCAACGTTTTTTTTGCTCCTCTATCCGATGGTATTTTTTTTTTTTTTAAATTCGGAAAAAAAAAATTAAAATCGAGAAAGATGGGGAGACTAACTTTTTTCCGGTACATCGAAGAGAACTGAAACTCGGAATATCGACTAAAAATCACATTTTGAATATTCCCGATTTTTGATTGGCTCCAAATTATCCGCTGACCAATAGAATTATAGACTGGGCCCCGTGATTGAAATAACTGTAGTCCTTCGGGCTGGCGTATAACTCCGGCCCTTCGGACTCGTATTACTGAGTATCCCAGATTCACAGATTTTTGTCGTGGAGGCGCGGGATTGATTGAAATAATGTTGTCAGATTTTTCTAAATTACATTGAAATATCGAAATTTGGAAAGTGTAATTTGTGAATTATTATTTTAATTAGGAATCAGGAATAAAAAACTGAGATTGAATTTTCAATTTCCCCTCTGACGGGCCGCCAATGCTCAAATGCATATGAAATGTACCTACTTACTACTTAAATTCTGTATGCTGAAAATATATGTACTATGTACTGCCAATTACCTATACTGTTTTCTTTCACTTTAAAATTTAAATTATGGTTTTTATTAATAATAATAATTTTATCGTAATTTTATTAATGTTATAGAGCTTTGACCACCCCCATGAAAAAATTGAAGATTCGGAAAAAAAGATCCTATGACTGGTAACTGAGTAATGCACAGAGCTGAGCTAAATACATACTTATTTAAAATATTAGGTATTGCACTGTCCAGACCGAGGTCCTGACAGTACTGAGTAAAAACCATCTGCACTGTTCAGATAATTTTGATTATCATATCATATAAAGTTGTAGTTATATTCAAAATGGCTTGCATTCCTTGCTGGGATTCAGTGTATCATTAATTATTTTTGTTATAAGTTCGCAAAATGAGGTTTTTTTTCAATGGTACCTAAGAGCCTAATTTTCAAAGGTCGTAGAGGCCAAAAATTCATTCGAAGTTACCCATAGACACAAATGTCGCATACAAAATACAAACAACTTTTTCCTACGAACGTGTTCAAAGTTGTACTTCTCTTTTCCGCACGCATTTCTGTAGTGCTCAAAGTTACACTCCATGAAAAGTACCTACTACTTTGCGCAAGCTTGTAGGGAAAATGTTGTTTGTATTTTGTATGCGATATTTGTGTTTATAGCCACCTTTGAATGAATTTTTGGCCTCGACCTGACCTGTAAAAATTGACACTTTTATAGGTACCTACTATTGAAAAAACATTCATTTAATTTTGTGGACTTATTACAAAAATAATTAATAATGAACTAAATCCCAGCAAGGACTGCAAGCCATTCTGAATATAACTATAACTTTATATCGTCGCTGTCAGTACAAAGGGACCTATTTCAATATATAGCGAAAATGAGTTATTCCCATAAAAATACTTAGAAGAACCATATCTATGTTGTGGCGAACTGGCATATCTCCATAATACACCGTGTGGCCATTATTCAATTTTAGCGGCATATCTGCTTTGTCAAACAGCCAAACATTTGTTTTTGTTATTACAAACGGGCCTATCTTCTTGATTATTTACAGTAAAAAGCCAATTGTTTATTTCAAAAAAGATATATTTCAATGTTCTGAGTATATAGCTACAGACAAAATTAACAGAAGAGTTTTCTTCAAAACGCTCTCCTGAAAAGTTGTTAAATCAGAGATTGGCCACTTTGTAATGACAGTGACGATATGATATATGATAATAAAATTATCTGGACGGTGCAGATGGTTTTTAGTTGGCACTGTCTGGACAGTGCAGATAGATTTCAGTCGACACTGTCTAGACTAGACAGTGCTGATAGATTTTAGTCGGTACTGTCTGGTCAGTGCAGATCAATGAGATAGTTTTCAGTCGACACTGTCTGAACAGTGCATCAGTCACTGCCTTTTAAAGCTGGATTTATACAGTAAATAAAATAAAGTAAGATAACATAAAATAAAATAAAAAATACGTACCTAATGCATTTCTTATTTTATTTGTTAATTACTGTATAAACACTTTAAAGGTATCTCATGAGGTTGTTATTTCTTATTTTATCTTATTTTAATTTATTTGCTGTATAAATCCAGCTTAAATGTGCCTAAAATATTAGGTATTTTACCTACATTCGAATGTACTTACAGTATTAAGTATTTTCTCCAGTACTCAGTAGTATTTTACTTACACTAAAAATTAGAAAGGAAAAAGTAGCTGCAAAGTGCAAACGAAAATCATTTAAATCTCTTTCGAAAATTGTAAATAAATTCAAATTCAAATTGTAAACAATAAAAAGAGGTTATGAGACAAAAATCGCAAAAACATGCTCCCGCGCTTACTAGCTGTTCGGCTATGTTCCGATATCAACTGCCAGTACTGGATTTACTGTGCTGATTTTACTGTTATTTGCCGTTCCGATTTCAACAGCGTACTCTTGTGGTCATTCAGTACTGAATCGACTGAATCCAGTGTACTGAAAATGGTATCGGAACGGCGTCAAGTAAATCCAGTACTGACAGTTGATATCGGAACGTAAGCGTTAACTGTTCGGTGTTCGGCTTGTTTGATTCGGTCGAGTCTCGATGAAAACAACACATCAATAGAGTACTCCGTTTACGTTCGGCTATGGTTAAGTGGAACGGAGATCACTACAAAAAGTTTCAGTTCGGGAAACTGCTTTGGTTCAGTGTTGAGAGCAAAACTCGGGCACCTTTCGTGCAAAACCTTACTGCTAAATCACTTCGATTTTTTTTTTTGTATTTGCTACATCGGAGAAATTCTTGTTACTGAGATCTGGAATCATTTATCGGTAAATTTTGAGAAAGTGCCTTTTTCGGTTACGGCACGTTCACGAGCTCTGGAACTATTTGCTCGGAGTTCTTCGGAATAACTCTCAAAAAGAACACTTTTTTAAATCCATGATCCGATACTTTTCGATCTATAATAGGTCTGTTTCTGCAGAAATCTCAAACCAGTCAGAGCCAATTTCATTGGTTGAAAACAGTCAGAAACAGTCAGAAAACTAGTTTCAACCAGGGACCCGGACCAGAACGATATTGAACCGAAAACCGGAATGAAACCGTTTTTTTTTGCGGACCGGAACCGGAACAGTACCCATATTTCATAGAAATATTGTAAGGTAGACAGAACCGGAACCGACATGAATGAATCGTTTTTTACCGGTATTTTTCGGTTTCAAGATTTCATAAATAAGGCTGTTTGCTGATTGTTCGTATCGTAAAAAATTTATTAATTTAATACTCTAAAAACAGAGCGTTGGAAAGCGCGCATTTCTGAACTAGGTAAGGCTACACCAAGGATACTACACATTACACACTACTACAGGATTGCTCATCGGCCTTGATTTTTGGAATCAAGTTTATATGGTGTTGCACCGTTGTCGACGTCATCAACGGTGACGTTAGCGGTCGTAGTTAAGAATATACATTTATGATGAAAAATATTATTTAATTTTGAATTAGCAAAATAGGCAAAGAGAGAGTTGTTAATTAATGTACTAAAGCCAAGTATACATAAAGCAAAAGTCCGCGGAATCATAGCCTATGGTGCAAACACTCTACGTCAAGGCGAGAAACCACACGCTGCGACGTCATCACTGATACTTTAATTTTTCTGCTAAATATATTTTTAACATTTTTCTGTTAGATATTTGTGAAAAACTATACCGGTATGAACCGTTAAAACCGAAATTATTGGTCCGAACCGAATCGAAATATTTCTCTTAGAACCGGAACCGTAACAGAACCGATATTTGTCACGACGCTGTGGACCAGAACCGGAACGGAACCGATATTTCATTTCGGTTAGGGATGTCAATTTTTTTCAAAACACCGGTTTTTTCATTAACCGGTTAATTTACTAACAGTTATAACTGCCCGGTTATAACTGATATAAAACACCGGTTATTCCGGTTAACTGGTTGCTCGGTTATTTTGCCGAATAATATTAGAATAATTGCATAATTATTATAATGTAGGTAACATAACTTAAACAACAACATATCTTAATGGTAAAAAAAATCGGAAACTGTTACATGTTAAAAAGCATCAAAGAATACTTAAACTTTTTTAAACTGGTTCCCTAATAGCACAAAATATTCAGAGAATGTTCCAGCAAAGTCCTGCGAAAGTTTGAATGTCCTAGTCTTTGAAGGAATGTTCCTGGAATATCTTTTCAGGTATGTTCACAGAATATTTTATCAGTATATTCTATGAATGTTCTAGGAAAGTCAAGATTTTTTAGACATAAAATGAATGTTCAAGGAATATTTCTGCAGGAGGTTCAGTCTTATGCACGGAGTTTGTAAAAAAAATTTAATAGATGTGTATTTTTGAAATTATAATGATAAAAATAGCGCAAATTAAACTCGATACATTTTTGGTTCAATTTATCAAACAAACATTCCTGGTAGGTATATCCTAAGGAAATCCAAAAAATATTCCCTGAATGTATACAGGACATACGAAGATATTCGGTGAATGTTCAATAAAATGTTCACAGAACATTCAAAATGCTGACAAAGGCTTTTCCCTGAATGTTCCTGGAATGTCTTAGAACATTCGGAGACATTCATGGAATGTTCCTTTATGTCCAAAATGTATGTTCTGCGAATGTACATGAAATGTTATGTGCTATTAGGGTTATTTCTCTTCTTTCATTTTTAACATGTACAGTTGCGGCCATTGGAATTGGCACAAATTTTCGAACGCACCTTGTAATGCATCAAAATTTGACTTTTTTTAACAGGCCGTTAACACCCGTTAATGCCAAAATTGTATCAGTTTTTAGCCTTATATTTGGCGTTCAAAAATTAGTGCCAGTTCCAATGGCCGCAACTATGTCTTTTTTTATACCTACATGTACATGTTTTTTTTCAATACCGTTCATTAGAGAAAGATGGAAATCAACCAACTGCTGAACGGATTAACCGAAACTGAAATACTAGAGATGGGCACGGGCACTATCGGTTAAAAAGACTGTTGTCGCTTATTCAATATATTTTAAAGTTATGGAAACAAGAGAAAAGTCTACGTGTTTATTTTTTCACTTTCACCGGTTATTAGGTATAAAACCCCGTTATTCGGTTATAACGGGAGGCAAAAAACAACTGGTATTAACCGGTTAACCGAAGAGAAAACACCGGTTTTTCGGTTTTAACTACCGGTTATTGACATCCCTAATTTCGGTCCGGGTCCCTGGTTTCAACCAATGAAATTCACTCTGACTGGTTTGTGATTTCTGCAGAAACCAACCTATATATAGGCTGTTCATTTGTACTTGCTCTACCTGCTCAAAAAATCAAAAAGATCTGCCAGAAGCTGCTATTTATGAGCGGGAAAAGTGAACGCCGATCTGCTGCTGAGATCTGCTTGAATTAAGAAAAACAGTACAAATGAACACCAAAAACTGTGACACCAGACATATTAGTTGTATTCCTTTCAAGAGTTTGAAACACTCGAGCTACTCGCTCCGGTGCTTCGAAGCCCCCGATTTGCAGGGAACAGATGCGTGGTGCAACAAACACTTTTCGAAAGGAATAGGGACGTGAAGCCCCGGAGCTGTTCCGGAGCTCCTCCTAGGTGTGAAAGGAATACAACTATAACCTACGTTTCACTATGGACCGGCCCTTGGTGGCGATTTATTGATTCCAACGCAGTGCGAGAAGGATAGAGCTAGTTGGGGCAAAACACAATTGGATTTGACGTGCTTGTTGTTGTTGTAACTCTCAAAGTAGTTTTATAATACCCGGCCTTAGACGCATTCCAGTTAGCAATTGTTTGTGCTTCAAACACAGTGCAGCACAGTATTCTGTGTTTCGAACGCAAAAGTTAGCAGCTCTCGAAGTGCAGTACGGCTGGAACATGAACACATGCTTGAAGCATTTGCGCGCGCAAAAGTCCGATAGCGTGCTCATAATGGTCAGTGGAAAGCGGCTTTTGTCAAGCAAGTTGTCAACGTTTGTCTCTCTCTCAACGTTAATTTATTCCGATCGGTTTAATTTCGTTTTTGTTTGTAAATGTCACTCTCAGATCTAACTATTTTGTTATATTTGAGTGGAAGGTCGGGTTCCCCCCTGTGCTGCATTTAAATTGCTAAATAAGATGGCAGAATGACAACCTATTACAGTCCTTAGCCCTTATATAAAAATATGAGTGTTTTCCACAAATAGCTCCATCTCTCTCGGGGTGCATTCAAGGACAGCAATAGTTGTATTCCTTTCACACCTAGGAGGAGCTCCGGAACAGCTCCGGGGCTTCACGCGCTTATTCCTTTCGAAAAGTGTTTGTTGCACCACGCATATGTTCCCTGCAAATCGGGGGCGACTAAGCACCGAAGCGAGTAGCTCGAGTGTTTCAAGCTCTTGAAAGGAATACAACTAATGCTAATGCCAAAACCTACTTTTCCCCCTCCACCGGTAATGCCGAACCACGTAGGTTGGAGCCGAATTCGAACGCAAAATGCCAATTTTGGCTTGGCTGTAGCCATTCCTGAACGCAGCCCTGGACCTCTCTTTCTATGTTGCCTGCAAACAAACACTGAGATTGGCGATTGGCTAGGGCCGGTCCATTAGTGAAATGTCATTGATGAACACCCAATTTGGTTGTAGGGCATCTTGGGCATACTACATGCAAATTTTCGAACGCAGCCCTCTGGTGGTTTGTCAATTGTTGACAAATAAATGTCTAATAAATAAAATGTCAGTTTGGTTTTGTTTATGTTTACTTCTGAGTATTATGTGGTGTGGAGCATTATTAGGTATTTTTTAATATTTTTCGAGAATATCTCTTCACTTTCCTTTCAGTTAATTAGAATAATCGAATAAGGATAACGCATTTATTTATATAGGACAATAATATAGTAATAATTTTGAATTACTTAAAATTTGCTCGAAATTTGCCTTGTTGATTGTTTCTTTTGGATAATAAATATAAAAGTGGAAAAAGGAAACAAAGACAAAAAAGTAATATTTTGGCTTCGGTTCTTTGGGACTTTTCACAGCAAGTAAGTATTCTAATGAGCTTATTTTATCCTTGTGTAGACCTTGTTTCGATAAAGCGCTAAGTAAAAATTAGTGCTTGAAAATTATATACTGTATGCAATAGGGAATTTTCATATTTCTCAATTTTTTTTTTTAGATACTTCTAGCGATTAGATATTACATGGTTCAATTTTTTTCCATTTTAATTTATACGTTGTACGAAAAAAAAAATATTGAAATTCAAATCAAAACTTTGGCGCGAAAACGCGAGGCTTCAATGACAGCACTTGTGACATCAATATTTCGTAAACAACAAACTTCTGATGACGCAGTGCTATTTTTGTGTTATTTAAAAGTAGAAAAGCTTTCTTTTTGTGAAAATTGTCGCGATGGATGAAGAATATTGTATAGGACTACTTTTGGAATTTTATTTCACTTGCAAGTTCCCTTTTGACAAACTTGTTTACAGAATCGTGACGTCAAAAAAGGGGCCATTATGGAAGCATTGTTTTGGCGGGAAATTTTTTATTTCAAATTTATAGTCCGGGAGGCAGTGAAATTTTTT